ACTTAACACACACACACAGATACACACACTGAGGTTTTAATGTGTCCTCTCCACATTCACCAAGCACTTCATCTTCATTGTGGCAACACCCCTGCTGTGTGTGTGTGTGTGTGTGTGGACATACTTTATATCTTCAACTCTATCATTTTTTTCTCCCTAATTTAACACACCATGTCCCCCTAAAAACCACCTTTGTGTGTATGAGTGTGTGCCCCCCCACCCACCCACTCCACCCCAACAGAGGCCAAGGAATAATCTCCAGTGTCAGATGCACAGTCAGACATGTAATAAGCCCTAAGTGGATCTAACTGCTGTATGTGAGATCATGCCTGGGTGATGTTTATGCATGTGACACATAACCAGCTCTTATTGTGCTCCATCACACTTGGATGATGTGATTATGATAAAGTGCTGAGGTATGGAGAGGCACAGAGCCATCGCAATAAGAGATGAATAAAGATAGGGTCGCTACAACAGACGATTCCATGTTGGCCGCCGGGCTGGGCCACTCTCAGCACCCACCAAATCACATTAGTTTGAAGAGACAATGACGCGTTTCAATTTTCCTGAGATGGAACGACTTAGAGGCACCACCATGTGGAAACCCCAGAAAATTATGACACGAGATAGAAGTAGAAAGTAAGGATGTCTGATAATATTGACCAGTATTATCGGCCCAATGTTAGCATAATTATGTAACATCTATAAGAATTGTCATCGTTTTTTCCTTCGATAATGCAAACCCCTTAACGCAACGCCTGGGTTTCGCCAAATGATGTGAGCACTAAAAATAATTTTGGGGAAGAACGGCTGTATATGAATGTGAAAGCCACTAGATGGCAGCATTGCAGCTCATTTTATTAATCTATTTTAATAATCAGGAGATTGTATGCAGAATACTGGTGCCAGTAACTCATACAGTGGTTTGTACAGATAAATACATAGATATTACCAAGCCTATGTCGCTATTGGTTGAAATTGGAATCGGAATTTGTTTCAAACTATTGGCATATCAGATATTGGACAAAGGTTTATATCAGACATCCCTAATAATTATTTAACATCTGTATGCATACAAGTATGCATACAGATGTTACATACATACAGTGGTTTGTACAGATAAATACATAGATATTACCAAGCCTATGTCGCTATTGGTTGAAATTGGAATCGGAATTTGTTTCAAACTATTGGCATATCAGATATTGGACAAAGGTTTATATCAGACATCCCTAATAATTATTTAACATCTGTATGCATACAAGTATGCATACAGATGTTACATACATACAGTGGTTTGTACAGATAAATAAATAAATAGTATAGTATAGGTTTTTAGGCTTCGGAGGAAATGGTCCATATAAGCTGTTCCACCATTGGTGCTCATTGGAAAAAATAGAAGAAGACAAAGAGTCAATATTTTCATTTGTTAGAGAATATTTGAGAAAATCAGGGTTAAAATTATTACCGTATTTTCCGCACTAAAAGGTGCACTTAAAACCCTTTATTTTTCTCAAAAATCAACAATGCACCTTATGTATTTCTTCTGGTTGTGCTTACTGAGCATTTTATAAAGCCAAACTACACAGCGCATCACACATGTTGCCGATCAACTGAAGCACAGTGGGAGCCAACAATGACGTTTAACCCTGTTAATTAACAATTAGAAGATGCTCAACAACAGTTGTTACAGTATGGTTGCATAAACCAAATCCGCGCAACGTCGCGTCATGCCTCCCAACACCCGCAAGTGTAGCGAACTAATTCGGGGCTTGCCATCATTCCTGGTTGATTGACCAAATAATTCCAACCACTAAATACTGGTGTTAACAGGGCGTTCAAAGTTAAATTGCGAGCTGCGTGGAAGCATTGGATGACAGAAGGCGAACACACATTCACCAAGACAGGGAGGCAACGCCGGGAGAGTTACGCCACTGTCTGCCAATGGATCATTGATGTCTGCACTAAGGTATCCTATCTAGTCTCAAATGTCGTCCGAGCTTTCACGAAGGCCGGAATCATCAATGAACAACTAATTAACAGCAACGAGACTGACTCAGATAATGATGAGAGTGATCCGGACACGCTTGATTGTTTTGCCTAATTGTTTCGCTGACTGTTTTGTTTCGCTTAATGCGCCTTATAACCCGGTGTGCCTTATGTATGAAAATATTCCCGTTTCTTGATATTGCACTTTATAACGCGGTGCTTCTCATCGTCCGAAAAATACGGTATATGTTTTATTTTAAGAATGGAGAAAACGTGTTTCGTTATAGTTAATATTATTAGATCATTCTATCTATCTATCTATCCATCCATCCATCCATCCATCCATCCATCCATCCATCCATCCATCCATCCATCCATCCATCCATCCATCCATCCATCCATCCATCCATCCATCCATCCATCCATCCATCCATCCATCCATCCATCCATCCATCCATCCATCCATCCATCCATCCATCCATCCATCCATCTATCCATCCATCATCTATTTATCTATCTATCCTATTTATCTATCTATCCGTCCATCCATCCGTCCATCCATCTATCCATCCATCATCCATCCATCCATCTATCCATCCATCATCTATTTATCTATCTATCCTTCCATCCATCCATCCATCCATCTATCTATCCATCCATCATCCATCCATCCATCTATCCATCCATCATCTATTTATCTATCTATCCATCCATCCATCCATCCATCCATCCATTATCTATCTATC